ATGTCTTAGACCCAAAAAGTCGACGGCGTGTGTCAGGCACTGGAGGCTGATCGACTACTTGCCTATTAGATTCAAAAATGATCATGAAACAGATTCAGAAATCCGAGGCCAAGACCTAAAGAGGTTGTCGCGCCACTGATTGTTTTTTATTTATAACTAATTTATATTTGTCACGTCGATCCTGATCCACGGAGGAGCTAAACTTGAACATAATAATAATAATAAAAGCCCTTTATTCACTGACCATTTTAACTTACATGCTATTCTTATAATTAACATTCTTAAATCTAATTTACATAGTGAAAATAATAATTTATTAGCAACCACTTTGGTCATGTTGTCTGTCGACATAGGCCTCCCCCAATCGTTTCCACATCTCTCTATCCTTGGCAGACCTTCTCCATCCTTTTGGCAGATCGTCGTCCCATCTTTTAATTTGACCGCCTCGCTTTCTTTTCCCGTTTCTCGGATACCACTCTATTACATCCTTAGTCCATTTTTCTTTGTTAGTCCTCATTATATGTCCAATCCAGTTCCATTTAAGCTTTCTTATTTTTTGTAGCACGTCACTGACGTTTTTTTTTCTTATTTTTAAAGCTGTCCATCGATCTGGTAAACTTGAACATACTAATTATTAAATGGTCAAATACAGAACAGTAACCTCTTACGTTATCGTCCCTAATTCATTCCCAAGGTTGGGCAGAATTTTCCAAATTCCGTCTGCAAAAACAAACCTAGGAGTTCAGTCACCTCTCATTCGAATTCTTCAGGAATATAACAGAATAAACACTACTTATCCAGAGCTTGATAGTCGGTAGTGGGCTGATCAATTCAAAAAAAACCTTGTAAAGCGCCTATCTAGTATTTAATCCGTATTGTTATGCAAAAAAATACTTGTAAGAACTAGAATTGTAAGTGTAATTGTGAATTTTGTTATTTTTGTGCAATTTATGTTCACCATAATTGTTATGTATTTAGAATAGATTGTAACTCATACTATATAAAATGCATTATATGATGTGGTGTATAGGTCGGTTATCGAAAGCTGGCGGGTTCACAGTACTCACACTAATGTTTCAAAATATGATTTTTTTGCCAAGCTATATATTTTAGTCCACTCTGGTTTTAGTAAGGTTGGGTGGGTTGTAAATAAATAAAAATGTGTCAAATACATATAAATATTAGGTGCATACGAGGGTGGATCCAAAAGTTCTAAGCCAGACCAAGAACGTGAAAGAGTAGTTCGTGTAAATAATTTTTCATTTTTCGACATACGCTCCATCTAGCCATGACTTTGTTGGTCGACAAAACGACCTTAGCCGTTTTCCGAGTAGGTGATCCAGATATTTTCCATTGTTTGGACTGTTGCTTTGATTCAGGAGTATGGTGGTGAACCCAGCTTTCAACAAATCAAAAAAAAAATCAAATCAGCTTTCAGCTTTCTGCATCTGATGTCAAATGAAATATAAAATTTTTATCATTAAACTGTTTTTATTAAGATGCTTGAAATAATTAAAAACATTGTGCACCATTTCACGAGATTGCCCTGGTAATGTTTGAAAAAAGATCAACATGTATAGTAAAGATCAACATAAACAGTAGCAAAAGCAAAACAATAACTGTCTCTTTTATACTCATAAGCTTGACCGAGCGCGAGAGAGACGGACAGTCTTTTCATGATGTATTTGTGATTGTATTTCAGTTTGACATCACGCCTCGCGCTTATTCACAGACACTACACAAGCACAAAGTGTAAATGTGTTGAAGCCGCCAGCTTTAAGTAACATACCTATACGTGTATTGTATGTGTATAAATAAATAATACACAAAAAAAAACAAAACAGATTTGGCGAGAGATTAGCCGACCTTCATTTGGGGCCTCGAGTCTTCTGGTCTCTCGCCAAGGCTATCCAAGAGAATTTTTGTCAGCCTTCAATTCCACCACTGCACAGGAAGGCTTAGAATTATCAAAGACACTTCAAGTAACTTCTAATATTATATAAAATTCTCGTGTCGCGGTGTTTGCAGTTAAACTCCTTCGAAACGGCTTGACCGATTCTCATGAAATTTTGTGTACATATTAGGTATGTCTGAGAATCGGACATCTATTTTTCATCCCCCTAAATGTTAAGGGTAGTCCACCCCTATTTTTTATTATTATGATAATTTTCACCTCTCTATGATCAACCCCTATTTTTTAATTATAAATGATATACATGGCAAAACGACGGTTGCCGGATCAGCTAGTATTAGTATAAAATTTCTGTTCCTAAAGTTCCTTAATGAGATATGAGAATTTTATCCGTTTCGTTGTAAAGGAACGATTATGCATTTATGCCGGCAATCGAACCAATCAGCAGCGCCATGACAACTACGAGTATTATGAGTTAATTTATGTAATTTTAAGTAGTTAAGGTAAACTGTTTTTCTTTAAGTTAGACTACAAACAATAGAAGACGTAAATGGTTTACGTATGCATGTTAATGACGACAATAGTACGCAAATCGTTAACGTATTTACGGGTTTTATAGTCATTTTTAATTCGCCGTATCGCCGTTATGCTAAACAAAAGATTGGAAAAATACTGATTCATTGACGTACATTTGACCTTTTTATATATGTGTTTATTTCTCTGTATTTTTGTAATTTATCTTCCCAGATTGTCTATCTCCTATCACACTATGATTGTCGTAGTATCGTATAGTACTTTATATTTAAGGACCGAGCTGGTCGCCAAACTCCAAAAGAATACATTGTTTCTTTCCATTTTTCGTCATCGTTTCTTGAAGTGGAAAAATTATGTGGTGGAGATGAGTAGTTTATGTATCCATTTTGAAAGATCGATACACGATTTAAACAACTTCGCTCGATAAAAAAACATCCAAACATAGCCAATTTTTTACACTTTAAATTCATTTTGTGACGAAATTGTATACAGAACATGATTTTGAAATGTACACTATATATTTAGCCATTTCAGATTTTTTTAAATAAAATTACATTAATTTAATGTTTACCATAACTAATTGTTACTACGGGCCGGCGCGGCGCGCCTCAGCTCTCCACTCGCCCCGTAGTCCACCCCGAGACACTATAGAATATAGTATTATTTATCTATAGTTACTTTCCAAGTAGCTTCTGACATGAGGGTTAGAGTCATGATCGCCTATATATCAAAAAATTTACTGACCATACCCCAGGCTGATCATTTATTGGGTTGGATTATCTCTCTCCCTAAAATATGGCGAGGGTGCCGATGGCTGGCCATGCGTCATACTCGTGAACGGGTGCTACTTGTACGGACTTGAATTCGTGTATTGATTTTATTAACTACTAATTTAATAATTGCCTAGTGCAATATTTTTTTACCTAAGTCCAGAGTACTCTATGTACTGTTTTTTGTTCGCCATGCGACTTGCCTAGAAAATGGCTCGTGAAACCTACTTTAGCCAACTTTTTTAAGAGCTTATCATTGTCAACCATGTCAAAAGCTTTTCTTATGTCATAGCCACTTACTCTTGTCTGTCGCTTCAGATATAATGTGCATCAGGTAGCTTTATAGATTACACCCGTTACTTCTTGTTAATCGAAATCCAAATGCATATAATATGATGTCTATATAAAAATAGTGAGTTTATTCCTAAATTTCATTCCTGAATCTTACCCCACGAGTCTGCTAAAATGTACTATGTAGGCATAACTGTAACAGAACATATGTATAATATACATAAGTTTTTGACAAAATAAACGATAAAATTTGCGAAAAAGATTCTTAAGAATATTCATACCGAAGCGTAAAATCTCGAATCCTATTGTGATTGTAGCAAAATCATTGATTATCTTAACTAGTGGGAGAAAATTATATCTAAGATTAGGACGTAATTTATTAAGGGATTTTGTTTATAGAAATCACAACTAAAGCCTCTAAACCACAACGACACCAGTGAAGCAATATTGTACCAAGTTTTGTTGCTAGGCTTTTTTAACAGGCGTTTCCAAAAAAAGGAAATCACTACGTTTAGCCTCGAATTATTTTAATATATTTAAGAGCTCTGCATATAATTGAATGGTAACAATTATAAAAGAATAACTAATAAACCTAATCTCTAAATTTTATTCATGTTTACAAAAAATTAATAAGTAGGAACACATACTTATTCGAAATTGTATCTACGAATTTTCAGTTTATCCATGGCGCCAAAAACTATTAATATTTCACAAAGACAAAATACTGAATTTGAAATTAAACTAACATGGCTTTTGCATAAAAATTATCTAAATTTCGAATTGCACGCCCAGCCATAAATAGGTCTGTAAATACAGATTATAGAATCTTCAATTTCAGTCTCATTGCAATTATGAATAAACTTAATACAAATGCTCGCTGGCAATGGGCAATGGGCGGGGCATTTAGCAAGAAGCATAGATAAAAGGTGGATTTAAAAAATCTATATGAAAAGGATCAAGGATAAAAAGGAGAAAAGGGCGCTCATTATTATGTTTGGTAACAGTTTAGTTTAAACCAAGAGAAGTTTGTTTTGCAGGTTATCTTGTAGAAATTTGCGGGTTATTCTTGCTGTATTTTTTTACAACTGCTATGGATGGATGGATGATAGGGTGGATTTCGGGAGGTCTAATTTGAAAGAATCGTGTATCTGTGTTAGGATTATTCCGGTGGTGGGCTGGTGTTGGGTATGGCGATATCTATTAAATGTGCTGTTTAATGGGTTATTTTAAATGCTCGAAAAAATTTGAATATAGAAATAACATTGCGGAAAGTTTATTTCCAAAATTCCGAGAAATTGTGTACTTTTGTTCTGCAGAACATCTAGAATTATGTAATGTTATCACGTTTAGTAAACTAATAGAGTACAAGACCGATTTGATTTTCACAGAAAGAGGTTAGTGATAAAATAAAAATTCTTAACAAAATTAGTAGTAAAAATATATTCAACAATGAGGAATCGAGTGCCTGCGCGCAGCGTGGCGCGCTGTTTATATCAACGTCGAACACTGTAGGCCGAAGATTTAGCCCGTTGTATTTTTTTTAATAGAATCTGAAAATATGGATATTCATCACTGCTCTACCTATATATATAGGCATAGAATTCCAAAATGAAATTAATTCATAAACTAATAACATCAATTGCGTTTACATAGTAATAAAATTTGCGTTTTAAATTAAAACAAATCTTAATATATATATATTTCTTCTGTGCGTGTGTATGTGACTGAACTCCTCTCAAACGACTGGACCGATTTTGATGAAATTTTTTGTGTGTGTTCAAGGGGATCTGGGAATGGTTTAGATTCATAAATCAGCCCGGCAGATGGCACTGCAGTCGGTACTTTCATACTTTGCTTAATATCCTAATCGCTTTAAATATCATGCAGGACAACGTCTGTGGGGTCCACTAGTATATATATATATTTATAACGAAATTCGGTTTTTACAGAGAAGCTCTGTTTATCCATGTTTATTCACAAATACAGTAAAATACTAATAAATTGTATTACCATATTATCATGGTCAATTTGCCTCTGTTTGAGTTTTCTATGGACAGCAGCGGATGGGACAGGTTTTTTGGCAGGATCTTTCGCCGCACACTTTTTGTTATTACGAGCACCAAGAATCTTGTTCAAGAGAATGTGATTGTGCCTTTCAATCTCTCGTAACCTTTCATTTGTGAAGGACATATTAATTCGACGGGTTTGGGGTACTGAGATTGATCTGAAATAAACATTTAGGATTAACCTAATTAAATTAAATAATCCAAAGAGCAGTGTTGGCCTAGACTCTAGAGGCTTCTGTGCGATTGTCATCCTTGAGGTCGTAGGTTCCATCCACGGCAGTGCACCAATGGATTTTAAGTCTATGTGTAAAGAGTAAAAGAAAGCATCGTGAGGAAACCCGCTTGCCTTAGACCCAAAAAGTCGACGGTGTGTGTCTGGACGGGAGGCTGACCACCAACTCGTCTATTAGATTGATTTGATCATGAAACAGATACAGAAATCTGAGGCCCAGACTTCAAACGGTTGTTGTGTAGTTGTTCTACAGAGTTTATATTAATTACCTCCTATAAATCGTATTTATTGTTTTATAAGTATCGTATTTTATCTATGATTTGCGTGATAGAATTGAATTAAACATTCGCCCTTCTCACGTTAGGTTCCATTCAATCAGGGGCTTGAGACAAAATCACGTGACAGATCGTGAAATATACCTTAGTTTAAGCTATTCACTAGTATTGTAGAAAATTAAGTCAACATAATATTATATATTATATAATTACCTATTAGCCATAATAATTATTGTATTGTTTGTAATTAATGTAAAGTTGCACTCTCTTTTATGAACATTATTGTCGAAAAAAAGCTGTAAGTCTATAATTTTGAAAGAGGTCAAAAGCTAAACCAAAATTACGCGCTTTCTAGTACGCTTTTATAAAAACATTTTGAGATTTGTAATGAATTAACTACACAACAAATTATTTAAAATTCTGTATTGGGGTTTGAAACCACTTCTCGACAGTCGTGAACGCTAAACGAATATATATGGAAGTGACATTATAATGTTCATGAACAGTCTTAGTATTATATAATTTTAGTCTTATAGTTTTAATTTAAAAAATAAAATTTTAGTTTTGATACATCTATAAGTTATCCTAGAATATATATAAATTAAATAGGCTGCTTCCTACCAGCTCACCGTCCATAATTTAAAAACACGGTTAAACAAGCAGAGGTGAGACGTACTGATAAGTGATACCTAACATGTGGTTGATTCATGCACATTACACTAACACATTCACTCACATGCACCTACACTAAAGGCCTGTATTCACTTTGATTAGTAATTGAGGATGATTAGTGCAGGTCGGCAGGAGGTAGTGCAAGTAGTGTCCAATTCTTGTGGCTCTTTTAAGTAAATTCAGTTGTCGATAGATGTCGATCAGCAAGTTTGGACGAACATCGAGAAGCGCGCTTGCGATTGGAAGAAGTATTAAACGCGGTTCTATCTGAAACCGAAGAAGTTTTGGAAGCTGAACTTGCAAGACCAAGAAGAGTATGGGTTCGAAAATGGATTAATAGAAGACCCATTCATGGCGCAAGCTACCAACTCTTTAAGGATAAGGAATTGGCTGCTGAATAAATGACGGAATATTACTTTGCTTTCAGGTTGACCAGAGTCCTGCTGCCTATCTAGAGTCTAGACATGTTTTGGCAGGCACGCTGCAAGCGAGGGGGAAGGGAGGGCGCACGGGGCGTGGCTACTCGCAGTTCACTCGAAAAAAATAGAACACGCTTCTAATCACTTTTGACTTTACTACGCAGCCATCACCTGGACTAATCAGTCGCTGACCACACTTTTTTCTCCTAATCACTAATCAAACTGAATACTGGCCTTATCACGCTCACGCGTGTTACGCGTCGCATATGCTGTTAAAAATTAGGAGAAGAATTGAAGTTTAAAAAAAAACTTAAACTTTGTTATGGAAGAGCTAGGAACCCTGACTCGGGTATTTTTGACGTGCAGGAGCTCCCAAATCTTTCAACACGTAGTAATGCATATCTACTTATAATTAATAAACAAACTTTTTTATTATATAATTTTCAATTCTTACCCATAGTCAGATCTGCCAGATATAGACTGAGGTTTGCTCGATACAGATGTATGACTTTTCGACATCTTAACCGATTTATTTGTTTGATCGTTATCCAATTGTGTTTTAGATGAACTACCGCTGACAGACTTTGTAACTATTTTTATCTCCTCAACCTCACTATCCTCTTCAAACTCATCTGAATAGTGATCATCATTTTCATCGTTTTCTTCCGATTTTTCACTTTCAGATTCTGAATTGTATACACACGTTTCGACGCAAATATTTGGCGGTCGTTTTACAGTATCAACTATGCATCCCATGTCAAAATTTTTAGTAATTTCATCGATATCGTTGTTATTTTCTTCCTGGTAAAGCTGTTTTAATTTCATTTTGTTAGTGTCACCTCCAGAATATTTAGTATCTATGTATTCACTTATTTTTTCTACTTTGCATTCAATCTGCGACATTAGTGCCAAGCGTGCGTCTTTGTGGTCAAAGCTAAAAAATAAAAAATAATAAATCGTCAATGCAGTAACATATTGAAGCGATTTATACTCGTAAATGAACACGTTAACTACTTCTACGCAGACCTACTACAGTATGTCTATTGCAGTAGATTGCCGAGTTAAAGTATAATATCTTCTACAAAGAATCTCAACTAAAATGTGCTTGAAAGATTTTTTTAACTTACTTAGAGTTTATTTTGTTTACAAACTTTTAGATAAACTATACTCCGATCACAAATAATAGTTACCACATTATATTTTCAAAATATGTTAAAAATTATAATATTTTCTAAAATTCTCGATCACTACGAAATAATAATTCATAGAAACACTTAAAAAACCGTTTGACAATGACAACATACGAATATGTAATTTTCTTTTTTTAGCGTTTGAATTTCGCACCCCAATGATTTAATATTATTTGCAGCCAGGAAAACAACATTTCACTACAATTTCGTACAGGTGTACTTCTTTATTTACAAAATTTTATATCAATTACTGTTAAAACATTAGCGAATGAAAAATGTTCATTGTTGAATATCATCTTCGAATGTTCAAGAACTGTAAAATCAATAATGACCTATCAACATGTAAACAAAATAATAGGAACCGCGCCGTCAGTTTAAATAGTTTTCACAGACTAAAAAGACAAACATTACAGGTTAAAGAATATTGTCACTGTCTTGAATGTAGATACATATATTATATAAAATCTGAAAAAAATTAAATGGTACGGTTATGGTCAAAATCCAAAACTTTTTTGTCACATGTAAGTAACACAGCGCTGAGCGCTTTCAGATACCTATAGAACCATTTAATACCTATAGAAATTCTGTTAGTTTAAATCGGTATACACTTAAACGAGAATATAGAGAACTAGGTATTGCTCAATAATGCATTTTACTGATTTTGGTTCTTCTACTGATGCAAGTAATAATACACCTCTGTTATATACCTTAAGCTACGATAGTAATCACAGCGCAGTCGCTTTCCTGTGTCTTGTGATTCTGTGATTTCGAGTTTCGACAATCGACTGAAACATTAAACGTCAGTCAGAGTATTCTATGTTGCGAACGGTGAAGTGAAAACGTCAAAATTTTTCAACGAAAATAAATCACTGTACAAAAACTTGTTTTTTTACGATAAATTACAATTCGATATGTTATTTGCAAAGATTCTCTAAATAAATTCGATATTAAAAGGGTTATCGACACTTCGAAATGGTTACAATAATCAAAAACCAGCTATTGAAACACTTATCCAGGTACTTTATGATATCGCATTGATATTTATTGTTATATTTATTTACGATAATCAGGAGGATCGTAATGCGCTAATTAGATATATATATTAAGATTTTATTAAGGGCAGTGATATTGTAATGATACTCGTAATAAATATAAGTTTTACATAAGTCCTCTAACTAGTAAGATCTTTTCTATGAAATTGAAAAAAACTATTTTTATTTTTTTACTTGTCATAAATTCTTATTACCACAATAATTCAGCAATGTAATGTATGCTATAAGTCTTATTCTTATTGGATTCCTCTACATCTTGATTATTGGATTTAAAATAGCAAAATTGGATTTAAAGTGCCTTTTTAAAACACAATATCATAACATATCTTGTCATGATGAGTACCAAAAATAAAACCAAATGAGAAGTAAAATTATACTAATTGAAAAAAAAAACTATTCCAGATATACAAAGAATTTATCACCTGAACAAATATCATTGTCAGCCCTTCGAGGCTCTGGTGAGCTTCAGGATTTGACCTTAGATGAAGATTTATTGACAGAATTGTTGGAACTTCCTGGCTGGGTGCGCTTGACGTCAGCTAAGTGCAACCGTGCCTCATTTAGAATACAATGGACCAAGCTAAAAACAGTACCCATTGTTTTGGTAAGTGTATATAATATTTGAAAGATTACTTTTTTATATTTAAGCCTAGCAAGTACACAGCCTTTTGCGAAATGATTCTTGTATTTTTTATGCCAATGTCAGTAGATCAAGGATTGGTAATCAACGAAGCGAAACTTAATTAGATAATGCTTGTAACTATGTTATTAGGTTTTATAGCATAATGGTTTATGAAATTGTTGTAATATTTTGCTACTGAATAGGCATGTATTTACAAGCATTGTATTAAGATTTTTTCAAGACCACATTTTTCATAAAAAAATTAAAATCAACTTAACAAAATTTGACGACCCATTGGTCTAGTGGTTAGTACCCCTGACTGCGAATCCATGGGTCCCGGGTTCGATCCCGGGCTGAGATGAACATCGATGTGATGAGCATTTGGTGTTGTGCTTAGGTCTTGGGTGTTTAAATATGTATTTATATGTCTATCTATCTATAATATGTATGTATATCCGTTGCCTAGTACCCATAACACAAGCTTCACCAGCTTAGCATGGGACTAGGTCAATTGGTGTGAATTGTCTTTATAAAAAAAAAAAACAATTTGTAAAAAAAAATATATGTGTAATAAACACATTCTGTATAAAAGTGCAAAAAGCACCATCTTAAGAAGCTGCTTCTGTATTTACTTACATACATATAGGGTATATTTAACATTCATTATACAATATACCCTATATATTTTATGTAAGTAAAAACATTCATTAAGGTAATTTTTTGGTATGGTTTGACAACACTAAAATAATTTAATTAGATTTTTTTCTTAATATGATTGAATACTCAGACACTATATTTAGATATATATCTGTGGTCATAGATCAAACAATGATAATTAGTATACTCATTCATATATTGAGTGTTTCATATTGCTTTCATAGTGCTTTCAAGATTTTTTAATAATTTAATTGCTTGTCCTGAAAAGTAATGAAATTGTATTTATCTTATTTTAACCTATAGCCACAGATATATTATAATGAAACAACCTTATCTTTTGACTTTTGAGTTTTGAAAAGTAATACATCCAATATTACTTTTCAATCGAGTTCCATTTACAAACCAAAAATATGAGAGTGTAAAATTAGACTATTAAGTATATGTACATATTTTACTATAAATAAGGATATATTATGTAATAAACAAGCATTAAATTGATTTCTTTCAGAACCTAGACGAAGTGCACATAGCATTGGAAGTATGTGCGGAGCCACGGGTCATGAATCCCAATGCGGCAGCGGCTATGCCTGTTCCTGGGAAATATAGTTACATACATAAGGTAATATTTTGTTTAGTCTGGTTGATTAGTATGCTATGAACATCCATTCACAAATTAATTGTTTTTTATAGTACAAAAATGCTTACATACTAACAGCTTTATTTACAAAAATAAAGTTGTTAGCTTGTAAGCATGTATAATCTATATGATGAAAGTAAATATGAAAAATTGTAAAAATATAATAAATAAAAATTGATTTCAGGTCATAGATGGTATCTCAGTGGCTGTGAATCATGTTCAAATAGATTTTAATTGTGATGCATTCACCAGTAGTGTTCAGGTAAATTAAATATTTATTTTTTAAGTATTTAATTTAAAATATGGTAAATATAATCAATTATTATACAACTTTATGAACTGGTAGTTAATGTAAGTTATAATAGTAAAACTCCTAACATTGTTTTAATTAAATTTTCTATTCTATCCTAGGATTTGAATTTGGTAATAAAAAATCATTATTATTTTTTTTTTTTTTAAATAATCATACAATCAGTCTTTGCGACTATAAGTAGATACGTTGAGAGCTTTTTGAAAAAATCATTATAATTTATAATATTTTATTTGTTTTATGGACATGGTGGATAGACCCCGATGTCCATCCATCACTCTGATCCATTGACTCTGAAGTCAAAATAACAAATGTTAATATAATGATAAAATCCAGATAAGTTATTTCATTAATAAAAATTCTATAATAACACCATTTATTCCTCAGTGTCTCTTTTCAAAGGCCTCGTCCAAATCTCTCTTGCATTTGCCTCCTGCTGATTCTTTTTATTTCTAAATTATCTACTTTTTATCCTGTTTTAGTACTAAGTTCAACCACATTCTGTTAACTTAATAAAATTTGAACTAAATTTAACCTCAAATACAAATTTTGTAAGATTAAATTTTTTTTAATGCTATTGTGTGATAAAGACAACAACCTTTCTAGATCTCAAGAGTGACGGTAGAGTCACGCACACCGGATGGCAGGAAGGGTGATCTAAGACTGACTAGAATCAAGTCACCCGACACTGGACAGCTGCTTATATTTAAGGTAATTTCGACTAAACAAAATTAAAAAATGTTTGATATGAATTTCTTCTATTTTTATAATAGGAACGACCTATCATTTATTTGTAATTGGTCCATAAACAAAGTTAATTTGACTTTCCGTTTGACTAATCTCAAAAAGTTGGTTTTCTATTCCGTATTATTTTGTATTTTCGTGATTATTTTGCATGAAACCTCTAAATCAGCGTTTCTTAACGTGGGGCCCACGCCCCACAGGGGGAGATAATTAATTGTTAAGAATAACCCTTATTCGAAAATTAATAAAATTTATTTGGTATATGAATTTTGAAATTAGTTTTTCATAATATATGTTTTGAAAATTTACTGTATTTTGTTAACAATTTCCTACTAATTTCTTCCTAAACCTATCATTCAAGTTTCTTAAGTGTACAATTCTATTTTTTTGTTAAAAAATTAAAATTTCTGAAAAGCTAAGCTAAAAGCAATTAATGAATGGGGGGATGGTTCAAGAAATTTTGGGAAGCACTGCTCTAAATTAAATGTATCTTAACTAAATGTATTTTAACTTCTGTATCTACGAAAAATGGCATAAAGTTAAACCTATTGCCAAAATGTAAAAAAAAATCTACGAAAACAAATTGCAGATTATTTTTAAAAATCCTCCCGCTTGCTTGACTTGTAACCTAAAGCTAAATTGAGACGTAATTTCTTACGGCGTTTCAACTCTGTATTGTATTGTTTGTCTTTTGTTTAAAGGAATTGGAGTGGCAAAGTGCCAGAATAGAGGCGAAGGCGCATGGGGTAGCGGCAGCTAATTTGCCGCCTTTGCGTCTTCTACTCGGAACAGCGCATTGTCGCATTGTGATTAAGAAACGTCTGGCTGGTATGTCTTACAGATTTTGTTCTATAAATATATATATATTTATACTAGCTGACCCGGCAAACGTCGGATACATTTTTTTAGTTCAATAAAAATAACTACATATAAAAAATAGGGGTTGCACGAAGTGGGGTGAAAATTAGGGGTTGTATGTATTTTTGTATGCTGTATCATAAAAAAATAAAAACCACAAAATTGTCTAAAAAATATTTTTTTTTTGGGGTGGACACCCCTTATCACTTAGGGGTTTGAAAGATAGATAGTAGCCGTTTCTCATACTTACTGAACATGCATAAAAAAATTCATAAGAATGGACCGAGCCGATTCGGAGGAGTATGGGAACGAACACGAGAATTTTATATATAGAGATATGGCAACGGAAGTGGCGGAAATTGTATTAAAACACTTTAAAATATCCTTTTTATGTCGTTTAGAAAATCATTTATTGAAATAATATATTGTTTTTCATTAGTTTTTATTCTATCTATAGTAAACCTTAACACACAATATTTTGTATGTTTCTTGTCAGTTCTTCTTGCCCGCTCTACGCCCTTAACTTGGGAACTGGTAGTAAATGTAAATTTAGTATCAATTTAACATCTTTTTCTGACGTTCATAAGTGTACTTGTTTACCTATATGAACAAAGTTATTTTGAGTTTGAGTTATATCTTGTAAAACACGTGAGCACAGAAGGTTTTCATATCATAATCGAATAAACACAATAAATACAAAAATTTAATCTATGCAAACTGCATATATATGATATATTACATCAAGATTTCAAATAGAAAAGACTAGCTGTACGGCACATCCTTTTTTATTATTGCTAATAAAGTTTTTGTTTATTTTTCGACTCTAAGATACAAGAGGTACAAGTAAAGGCTAGAAATTTTCCCCGATTAAGTTTTCTTAGTTTTATGAGCGGACTATTAAAAGGTTTAGATTACTGAAGTTTAGAGTTGATTTAAATTTATATTTTCTGTTTAAAATTGTCTAAAAGCCGAACACATAATATGAATTGGAATTTGTAGATTGTGCAGTGCTCGGTTCGCGTTTAGTGTTGCGTCCTGAGCCGTTGGCGTGGGCGTTAACGGACGGACAGTTACGTGCAGCGGTCGCGTGCGCGGCCGCATTGGCCGGACCAGTACATAAAGCGACGCAGCTTGCTACTAGGACTAAAGCTGCTAAAAAGGTATGAGATTACTACCAATATTTGTTTCGTATTAGCCTACAAATTTGCACTTACTATACTTAACGTTTTTATTCAAAAATAAGGTTAATAGTTTGTATGTAGTTAATACCGTTGGTATTTGGAACCAGCTGCCCACTGAAGTATTTCTGAACAAATTGGACTTAGGGTCCTTCAAGAAAACAGCGTACCAATTTTTAAATGGCCGGCAACCCGCTTTTGCGTCAGGCTGTGTGTGGACCATGGTCGGGGGTCACATCAGATGAGCCTACTGTTTGCTCCCTATTCTATAGAAAAGCACGTGTGCTGAATTTCGTAAGTGATAGTATGTTTGTCAACGAATTTATCGGAAAATATTCCAAGTTAGGAAACAGTTTAAGTTTCATCAAAATCGGTAGTGGTATTTGACATATTATGTTAACAGGTATTTCAGATTTCTGAATCTGTTTCATAATAATATTTCAATCGAATAGACAAGTAGGTGACCAGCCTCCTGTGCCAGACATACGGCGTCTTCTTTTTGGGTCAAAGAACTGTCGGTTTTCTCACGTACCAGCGAATATCAAATGAGCACATAGAAAGAAAGTCCATTGGTGCACAGCCGGGGATCGAACCTCAGGGAAGAGACTCGCTTGCTGAAGCCACTAGGCTTTGCTCTTTGCTTACGTTAATGTTATGTGTAAAAATGTGTTAACAGATAGAGGAACCAGTGCAACAGATATCGAGCCGATCCAGTTCAAGCGAGCGGGACATACTCGCTCGAATGTTCGCGAAACATGACGTACGAGAAACATCCTACCATTTGCTGGCACCGAGGATCGACTTGCATCTGTGTGATGATCCAGGATGTGAGTTACTCATACTCGCGTTCAAGTATTACGTCACGCAATTTTTGGAGATTATTGACCCCCCATGTAACGCGCCGTAATGTTTTTCTGTACCCAATAGTAAAACGTTTCGTGACCACCCAGTGACTATTTATACCTAAAAGTTACCATTATGTGGTGTAAAGTACGGGAAAATCGAAAATAATATTAACAATAACGCGTAATTCAATCCCCGCCCCGCATCGTAACGTTTTACAAAAGCCCCCCTCCCAAAATTCGTTACGTAATACATGAACGCTCCCTAAACTAATAGTATTATTTAAAAAAAGCTATTTAACTTTTTCTAAAATTAATTTAAAAAATCTCAGTAAGTACTTCATTTCTGAATTTTCCAAAATATTTATTGTTTTAGTTATTTTGTAAAGGATTAAAAACAATTGTTTTAAGAAATAATACACAGCATTTTTAATGAATTAGTGAAATTGTACATACATAATTTTATTATTACTTTTAGTTGTTTTTTTTAAATTTTAGCTAGTGATATTTTTACAATGTTTTTTAGATTTAAAGAAGTATATTCTTATTAAAAACATAACTTTTAGTGGGTAGATCAGAAATGCCACAACTGGCGAACGGTGGCGCTCTCCAAGTGACGCTGGTCAGTATGCAAGCGGATCTCTTCCCCTATCACAAGGCTTCTGATGATAGAAGGCATTGGAGGGGATATAGGTAAAAATATTAATTATTTGAATTATATAAAGTACTAGCGGATCCGATAGACGTTGTCCTGTACACACGTCGTACATACACAAAAAAATTCAATAATGTTACAAAAAATTTCATCAAAATCTGTCCAGCCGTTTCAGAGTGTAATTACGTTTACATGCACAGAAGATTTATATATATACCAGTTGTTTATTTGCTGTATAGATAAATAACCTAGATAGCGACTGTAGCTCCATATGCCGGGCTGATTTGAACTGAACGGCACGGCGCCACCCAAACTAAAAAAAAAGAATTCATTAATATCGGTCCAGCCGTTTAAAGAGTTCAGTGACATATATATATATACATTTTACACGTAGAGTAGAATTATATATAAAGATAATTAATTATGTTAATTTCAACTCTATCTCTTTAATAAATATTATTCCGGCATTGTCTTTAAAACTAATACTTTGAAGTGTGAAGCCAAAAAAATTACTTTTATTAAAAAATAGTTTTGAATTATAATATTTTATTCCGCATTCTATTTCAGTGCTTTCGTGAAAAGATTTTTTTTTTAAATTTTCTGCATTTTTTGTATAGAGAAGCAGCCACTCCTCACAGTCAGTGGTTATCGCAGGCTCTGTCCTCTTTCTGTGGATCTCTGTTAGATCTCTTGGATCCTAAGCCGGTCACGCCCAGTGCAAAGGTAAATTAAAACATTTGTACGCAAGATTATACGCGTACCGATATGTACGTACACGTTCATTGCTAAACAAACAAAAAATGTAAAAAAAATTTTTTTTACAAAGTATCTTTCATTTATAATAATAATTAAAATTGGCATATCTGACACTTAATGTTTAATATTCTAGCCTAGTAGTAGAGAAGAGAAAAATGAAGAGTCGCTACCGAACGGCGTAAGTCATAAGCCGGCCTCGCAGACATCTACTTCTAATGCTCCGTCCACACAAACTACCTCACAAGGTATTTAAAATAAAATAAAATATGTTTATTATGGAACATAAAATACAGGTTTCACTTATTCCACGTCATTAAATTTGAATTTGTAGGCATCCCTACTCATCGGCAAAGAAGACAGATGGTGTAGGCCGAGAGAAAAAGCCGGAGTAGAAAACTCTCGGTACTCTTTTAAAATAGCAAATCATCAAACAACACTTATTTAAAACAAATATCGCAAATTAATTAGAAGTAGCCTGTCTAGCACTCGTCCCAGGCCCTTTTATCAACTAGATAATCGTTGACTTTATAGTAAGCTTTTTTACACAGCTTTTCTTTAATACATTTCTTAAATTTATTGAAAGGCAGTGATAAAAGAGCCTCTGGGATTTTATTAAAGAAGAGTATCCCTTTTCCCAAAAAGGAATTACTAACTTTAGATAGTCTAGTGCGAGGAAATTTAACAATATTATATCGTTCGTAAGGCTCATAACAGAATTGGTCTGGAAATCTTATATTTCATTGTATTTCCAGCATCGCCAACAAGAACCAGAATACTCCAGCAGTTGGGCAAACTGATGACTACTTGCTTAGTTTTAAGAATAGATGACTTTACGGTTTACAAGGTATGTTACATGAACCGCAAAATGATGAAAGATAAAATTCTATTTTATACTCTGATTTTTAATTCCGTAGAATTCTGACATTTCATAAGTGTTGCTACTAAAAAAGTTCTCCACCGAAAAAGGACAAATTTTTACTTATTTGAGGGCAATAAAAAAAATGCTACGTATTTTTTAGGTTTTACCTACAAAAAAGTAAATCTAAATTTTTACTTACTCACGTGACCTAGTACAAAAATAACAAATATTTCAATATCACGAACAATATATCGAATTAACTTTAATTACTTTTAAAAAAAATTTATTCTTTAGATGGCATTACTGCCTACTAATTCCTGGTTTAGTAAACCTTTAAAAAAAAATGTTATCTTTACTTGTGCGTTTTTTACGGTTTGTGATGAAAAGGGACGTAATTATCACTCGCCGTAAAACCACTTTTAATGTGGAGCACCGCACTTAATAAAATGGATTCATTCAGTAACAAATAAAATGTATGTATACACTCAGATGTTCAGACTCTTATTGAAATTGAAAAATGTGCCCGGCCAAAAAGGTTTGCAATCTCTGACATGTCTAAATATGATAGCTGTCAGAATTCTACGGAATTAAAAATCAGTTTATAGGTGACTTGAAATTATATTTGAAAAAATTTACAAACACAAGAAAAATAAAACGCGCTAATAAATCAAATCGAATTAATATATAATAAGCAAAAAAGCTAAAAGAATGAACTACTAATCTTAGCCATAAAATATCTGCTATTTGGTCCAAATTGTTTTCGAAAGAAGTAAAAATTAATTGAACATATAGTTACTGAGGAAATTATAAGATTATTATTTATACATATTACATTTAAATATTATAAATTCGATATTTCTAACACACAAATACTGTATATTTTTATACTTGCAATATTCTTAACCTACACAGTAATTATAATAATTAAACATTGATAAATAGATATTAAAACAAATTTAAAACTGGTCCCTGTGGCAGTGTACCTTTAATGCTGGCATTTCCTCGCTGTATTGCGATACTTATTCATTGAGGAAAGCACCAGCTCTGGGGTCACCGGTACTATCTACCAGATCTTTAATTAGCGCTTGTGCACTTGAACCCCACGGTCCAAGTATTTTGTTCCCTTTGAAGTCGAGACTTCAAAATCTAAGTCAATATGTTCGGGTTAACAAGTAAAACAATTCGTAACTAAAACGCTTTTAAAACTAGTTGAAAATATCGGTGACGTTAAAACTTCAAAGTGAGATGGAGAACATTAGTTATATGAATTTAATACAGAGTATTATTTTTTAATGTCGTGATAAAACGTCGAAATAACTTGACGATTGCTCTAAAAATAAATAAAAAAATAAAAAAATCGTTTAATCACATAGGTAATATAATGTACACTTATGAATTGTCAGTAAAGAAATACATATTAATGCTTCTAATTTTAAATTTACTGCCAGTTCTCCAAACAAGGGCATAGAACGGGAGAGAAGAACTGGCAATAAACTATCTTTCTGTTCATATAATGTAATGTTCCTTTAATAATAATAATTTATTGCAAGAATGGTACAAAAATGTGTAAGGTGGTACAATCGTTCGCATATTCTGCCACACACAATGGCGCGTCTTTATAGGAATTTTACCTAATTAGTCAATTCTTATATTATTTGTATCGTACATATCATATCATACGTTATTAAATTTATATCAACTACAGTGTCTCACGCAAATAATCATTTATTGAATTATACGTTTTTTTTCCAAAATTTATAACGACAACTCTCTGTTGAGACGGAAATTAAGCACTCCCTTAACCGTCGCTATCATGAGGACAATCAGATACTTTTGAAAATATGTTATAGAGAACTTAAAAAGGCGTAGCGCTAACCAGATCCATGCAACTTTCTCACAATCGAGTGGCCCGCAAAATCGCACACAACTCTTGGGCATGTCTCTCTTAGTGTCATGGGTCCGCCAAGCCACCCCAAATATACACCGTAAATACATAGTTTTGTAGGAATAAAGAAAATAAAAATAATAGCAAATAATTAACACCGCAAGGTTTCTAAAACGATTCGGCGAAAGGAGTCATTTTTCATCAAAGATAGAGTAGTTAACAATAAGCTTCTGTATGTTTTATAGGTATCAACAGGTTCTAAGTCGAGAGAAGCCCCTCGACCACTAGTTAGCGCAGAAAAGGCCACATTGCCCGGTGATGCTGGACTTTTACACGCTGAACTCACTTTCTTCTATTATCCGGGGGATGTATGCTTTCCTGGTAAGTATTGATGAGATTTGGTACTTCAGTGTCCGTTTTTCAACTACTTACTTACACATTTATTTATTTACTCCTACAGTTAACCTTAATTATATAGTAACTTATGTATGTTTTTTATAAGGTAAGGTTAATAAAAAATAAATAAATATAAGTGTATAAAAAATATAGCCAGAGAATGCATAATATATACAAAAAGGTTCAAACATTTACGAACCTTGGAAAGAGAAATCAATAAAAAATAGATTAAATATGTTAACTAAAGATACCTTATTCGGTGTGTGTGATGGATGGTATTACTCGTATTTATAATTTTCGTTAATTTAAAATTACTCCTAGTCCGATATTTATTGGGCAGACATATTTCTGTGTCTGTTTATGTCTTTAAGTTTTTTTTTAACTTTATTACACAAAGTAAAAATTATGTATAGTTAAAAGAAGTGCACTGGCTCCCACACTAGGATTGCCTGTGTCGTGGGTAGCCAGTCTCTTCTATTTGACATATTATTAGCCTCTGCCTAGAATTTTGAAGCTTAGATACACCAGTTAGCTCACAATGTTTTCCTCTCTACTTGCTCATAGATAGATAAATCTAATCTATCTAATCAACAATTTCAGTGCCATCGCCAAAAATGTACGTACAAGTGTCGCCCGTGCGCGTGAACGTAGACGTACCGAGCATAGTTTGGTTGACGGCGTTCCTTCCGCACGTGGCCGCCGCGGTTGCTTCGACTACCACGGATGACTCATCTACATATATGGATGTACGTTCGGAGGTTATTATGCCCAAGGTATGTTGTAGATAAAATTAATTAATACAAAATTGCGCTCGTGTGTGTAAGTGTGACATGACTATATACTTAGTTTATTAAGTTATAGATTTTTATTTAATACGTGAAAATAAGTCGATTTATACAAACTGTGTTTTTCAGAGAAAAGTTATGTTTCCTTGTGTTAAGGGAAAATTCAGTCTTGTTCACTGCCTTGAGGCCAAAATTGACACTCGTATTGAAATTGAAAAATGTGCCCGATCACTGACATGTCGAAAAATGATAGCTGTCAGAATTCTACGGACTTAAAAATCAGAGTATAGTTACTCCAAAAGGTATCATATGGAAACGATTGGGCAAGACACTCCATACTAAGACTGGGTTCACACGGCATTGTCCGTCACGTTTCCTTTGTATTCGTTTTTTTACGTACTTTCACCCGGGTGTTCACATGGTAAATTTTCATTCGTGTAAAATACCAATAGCCGCAGTCTTCACACTTGTCAGAGTGAGCGAGAACGAGACAGAGCTATATTATGTGCCCATTTAAACCGAATTAACGTTAAAGTTCATTCGATTTGCTTGACAAGTCCGTTGAGTGTTCGTTTGAACGTATAAACGGTGTACGATATTTTGCAGTACAAACGCCGTGTGAATGGGTCTATGTACAATACATGTGCCACTATTTATTCGTTGAGACGTATACTGCAAAAAACGTGCAGGACAATGGCGTGTGAACCCAGTCTTACTCTTTTAAAATAGTTTTTACAATATTAAGTACGTATACATTAATTTGATATATGTGAAGACCATCTAGAACAAAAAATAACTACTTTACCAAAATAAAATAGGTGCATGGTGTTATAAAAACCAATGCAGCAGATAACTAAATTATTATGTAGATACATGGTATTCCTTTACCTATTCGATTTGGTGTCAATTTTTTTTGGCGGAAATCTGAGTAAATGATTTTTATGTCTTTGTTCTTTACGAGATTATTTAAAAGGTATTTTTTTCCTGTAGATAGTGTTAGAAGCAGGCCCGGAACATATATCCCAACAGCGTGACAGGCCCAAGGAGTTGCACGTTTGTACTGCACGGGTCACATTCACAAATGTGCGGGAATCAGCAAGAGCTAGTGAGTAGTACAGTTTTTTAAAAGAACAAACGAGCCCCAAAAACGGCAGTCATGGCAACCCATAAACACCCATTTTTAGTGGATGCGTTGCCGGCTTTGGGGGAGTATACTCTTACTTTGAACAAGAGGTCGTATCTCTCAGGGAATATTGTTGTAAGATTAAAATGTATTTCTTGTTACTTTAATAAAAGTTTTCCTATGATTATATATTTTTGACGTGATAACGTCTTATAAATCGGACGGCTGCACGCCCGAAAAAACATGACCTATTGTCACGTCCCACCTGATCCTGAGCCAAAAATTCATTCAAATCGGTCCAGCCAGTTGACACTATATATATATATATACACAGTCACTGTAAACTAATATAGTGTACATTATAAGTATTTTGTATATACACAAATTTTAATTTAATTTTGATATACTGAAACGGATAATATAGATTCGATATTGAGGCATAAATACTGAAGGAAATTACGACCATAAAACTCTTTTGTAACATTTGACTTTAATATTTTAGATACAGCAGGCACAAGAGCGGATTTAGCGTCCATAATCGCCGCTTTACGTCGCCTAACTCCACGCGGCCATTTTCCATGCGCAGACGACGATATGGACCCCATACACCAGCAGTTTGTTTTACATGCAGATAGTAAGTGTGAAGGGATGTTATTTCTATAAGTACACTGATTTTTAATTCCGTAGAATTCTGACATGTCAGAGATGACAAACATTTTTCAATTTCAATACGAGTCTGAACATCTGAGTCTATACATACATTTTATTTGTTAGTGATGTATCCATTTTAATAAGTGCGCTGCCTTAAAAGTGGCTTTACGGTAAGTGATAATTACGTCCCTTTTCATCACAATCAGTCAAAAACGCACATGTATAAATAATAATTTTTTTTTAATGTTTTACTAAACCTGGAATTAATAGGCAGTGATGCCAACTAAATAAGTAATTCAAGTTAATTCGATATATTGTTCGTGATATTGAAATATTTGTTACTTTTGTATTAGGTCACTTGAGTAAGTAAATATTTTGATTTACCTTTTTATAGGTAAAACTTAAAAAATACGTAGCATTTTTTTATTGCAAATTTGTCCCTTTTTCGGTGGAGAACTTTTTTAGTAGCAACACTTATGAATTGTCAGAATTCTACGGAATGAAAAATCATAGTATAGTTTATTTCTTTGTAATTTTTGGTTTGTCTTTCTGTGAATGATTTTACTTGTGATTATTTGTCGTTTTCCTCCATTTAAGAACTTTAATCCTACGTTTTAAGGACCAAATACCGGAGTATGTTTCAAACAAAAACGTCTTGCTTTTCAATTATATTTGTCGGAGAAATATTGGCTTCTTCGATGGCATCGTCATTAGAGGGTGTAGTGGGCGAAAGATGGGTAAAGTGCGTACACAATAGACACGAATATTGATGGTACAATATTTAATTTAAATAGTTTCCTTTTAACACGCCAAACGGCATTTTAAATTATAATGAACAGCGGGTTCAAGGCTTACTTTCAAGCACAAATGTTTTAAACCCAACTTGGTCCAACGTCTGTTGACCACAATGCTTCACCGAATAATTAAAGAAATGTGTCGCGTTCCCCCGAACGCACTGTCCAAAGTCAAGATGGCGCCGCGGCCCCACTCGAGCCATATGCTCTGCTCTGATTGGTCGCAACAATAGTCGTACTTTTATTCGTTAAGTTTTGATTTTAAATTAGGAAAAAATTCAATAATAACAAAAGAAATTAAATAATGAATCTTAATAGTAATATAAACAAATCAATGATTAGCTAAGATTAAAATACAACGGTCAATTGACTTAATTAATTTAACCTTATGATTATTATAAGGAAATGTTAAAAAATATGTTCCCTGATATATTAATTCATTCTGATTCTTCTATAATTGAATAAAAGCAGAATCGCATAATCATTCCAACATTCCATAACAAATGACGTCATTGTTGTTGTATAGGAACATGATTTCTAAACCTAATTTTTTATTCGAATAATCGATTCCTCGAATAGATACATATTAAAAAAAAGTTTTTTAAATTGAAGAAACATATATAAATACAGTTATTTTAATCAGGTCTGGACGACATAGATCGCGGCAATTCAGTGACTCCTGAATTACTTTGGCGCGAGAATCGTTCAATTTGGTGCGCAAGAGCCGAACCTTTATGGATCGACTTTAGCGGCGCAAGAGCTACTAACTATAAACCCTCACCCCTGCTTGACGCCACACCTTTGACCGCATGGGTGAGTTATATTTAACTGATATGGAAATGAAGGAAGGAAAAATAAAATTTGGTATTTTTGTTTATGTATTGTGATGATTGCAAGAGCAGTGTTGACCTAGTGGCTTCGGCGTGCGACTCTCATACCTGAGGTCTTAGGTTCGATCCCCGGCTGTGCACCAATGGACTTTCTTTCTATGTGCGCATTTAACATTTTCTCGAACGGTGAAGGAAAACATCGTGAGGAAACCGACATGTCTTAGACCCAAAAAGTCGTGTGTCAGGTACTGGAGGCTGATCACCTACTTGCCTATTAGATTTAAAAATGATCATGAACAGATCCAGAAATCTGAGGCCAAAACCTAAAGAGGTTGTAGCGCCACTGTTTTATTTTATTGTGATGATTAACAACGTTTTTATTTACTAAAGTTCTTTGAAAGAGCAGTTTTAGCATGAAGCTTGAGCGTGCGGTCAATTATTTCTATGTGCGTATTTAACATTCGCTTGAAAAAAAAACCTGGTGTATAAATCAGCATATTTTGTTTTTTTTTACATATGGGGGGGCAAATGGGCAGGAGGCTCATCTGATGTTAAGTGATACCGCCGTCCATGGACGCTGACATTGCCAGAAGGCTCGCAAGTTCGTTGCCAGTCTTAAAAGAATTAGTTCGCGCTTTTCTTGAAGGAATGTCAACCATAGATCAATTATTATCATATATGTCTAATGTATTATAGCCTATTTTAAAAAATGGGATGTGGCTGTGTCATGGACACGGCCGTGTACAAAAACGCGAAAACTGTATTTAATAATAAAAAAAGATAGATTTTGACCACAACTGATGATTAAAACTTAAATATTGTCGCGTCTTCAAGTCAAAAGTTATACAAATAGCAAATCTCGATACGCAGCAAAAAAAACTTTAAATGGCGGAGCTTCGCCCTCCACCGCGTGTCCGTCCACCGTCACTCTTCTCGCTTATCGTGTTATCATTAGATTTTTGGTTATTTGCTTAGTAAGTTTTGACAACAATTATAACTATTCTTATTATTATGACATGATAAATAATATGACATTTGCATGCCTATTTTTTAATGGCTAATTGTGCGTTTTTTTTATAATTAATCAATCTGAATGTGCCACTTTCATTGCAAATTAATTAGTATTTAATAAAAATTTCAGTTATGTTTTGAAGACGGCTTCAATCGTATCTGGATGATTGGGCGGACCTGTGGTTTGGCTGGTTTACAAATTAACCACTACCAGCTGCTGTTCCTGCTGAGACAGCTGGAGAAGCTCTCGGAACTCACAGCTTGGCTCTCACACCAGGCTGGGAGGATGCCTGAGGATCCTGGGTAAGTGTTCTGTGACCGACTGTTCGCTATGACTGATGAAGGAAACGTAATCTTCACCATCCTTAATAATAGAAAAGTACTACTCATATTTTCTGAACCGTTTAGTTATTGTTTGAAATAAAAATTACATTTTAAGTCTCATCTCACCGTCATGTTTAGAAAAGTGGTTTTTAAGTGACTCATTAATTTCAAATGTATTTTTGACGTGACAACGGCGCTAATAAATCGATGACCGCCGGCTGACGCACGAAAACGCATGACTCATTGTCCCGTTACGCTCACTGTTCAGTTACGCTCACTGTACCGTTACGCTCATTGTACGTTTGCGCCGCATCTATCTCTTTTCCACTCGATTGGCCTATGCGTCCTAGGAGTCACTCATCTTTGTATCAATACAAAATAGTGATAATTCAATAAAAATTAATCAATTTCATAAATGTATAAAGTATGACGTTGTCACGTTAACCTATCGTCCGCAAACCGACTTTACATACAATATTTTTTTATTTTATGTTTTATTTTTCAGTATCAACAGAATATAATTTCGAATTAAGTATTCTGTTTCCATATATATGTAATGACTAAAAAAAGTTCATTCTTTTTTCATCTAGAAATTCACGCCATTCATTTAAATGTAATTATTCAATAATCATTGATACTGTTTAAGTTTAAATCATTGATACTTTTTTCCAAGTAAGGACTTTTTGATCCAACTGCCATCAAAAACGCGATGTGGCAAGCTAACAAATATTGTAAAATGTTATGGATTTTTGTTACAGCACAATTGTGGTAGGAATGGTGGTTCCAGCTGTGGAAATGACGTTAGTGCTTCCAACGAGTTGTCCCGGACAGGAAACCTCTTCCAGAGATCTGGACAGTGTTCCACTCGACTCATCCAGCTTACAGGACCTGAAAATGGGTAACTATCATGTCCATTGTCCACGTTGTAATTAAAATATAAATATCATTCTACGGTGAAATTTCGACGATGTTTCGAGGGCATACATTAAGAAATTTGTAAAAAGGTGATTTAAATGTTATCAAAACTGTATTATCTGTGTGTATCAGAAGTGTATTCTAAATAAACGTAGTTTTGAAATGGTTTTAGATTCTAAACAAATAGGGACGTACTTTTGGCGTAGTTTTCGGCACCGACTTCAAAAAAATTGTCAAGGGGTTATATTATATTGTTTACTTTTAATTATATACTAAATTTCACCACATATACCTACCAGAATATGTCACAAGCTATTTTTCGTAAAATACGTGACAATCCATAAACATAAATGTATGTATTACACTTCCAATTTTAGATTTTATTTTTTTTAATGATGGCAAACTCACATGTAAAGTGATACCATATCCCAAGGAAACTCTCATTGCTAGAAGGCTCTCAAATGCGTTGCCGGCCTTGTAATTTTGCTTTGCTGATTATGTATCAGATGGGCACTTAACTATTCTATTTTTAATTAACGCAATTAATTCTCTAATACAATGACAATTAATAAATATAAAATGATGTTGTTTTTTTTTTCCTTTTTGGAGTTAGTTATAATTATCGAAAGGTTAGTTTTGTTAATTCTTGATTCTGAGTTTTAACGTTTTTAGAGACTGAAAATTAAACATAGACATAACATTTTTTACTAACAAAAACACATATAAAAACAATAATCAATGAAAAAAAAATATAATGATAGATAACCAACAATTTTAGTTCCCTTTCGGTTCGTTTCAAAATACGTGTGTGCTGTGGTTGTAATTGGCCCTGGCTCAGCATGAGAAGCAGACTGTTCCTTAATAAATGAGTTGAAGCTAATTTTAATAATTTTTGTAGGCACCTCCCTAGGTTCCGAATCCACGATGGCTCCGTCAATGATGGACAGAGATAGCGGGCTCCTAGCCACGCACTCCATAGAAGTGTGCACGGCGCAAGCTTTGCCCGCTGAAGAATTAGCACCAGCCAGCCCTGGCCTTGGATTTAGCAGTGAGTAAATTTTATAAAGGAGAGTTAACTTCGGTGGTAGTTGTTGCAGGTTTATCTCGTCCCTGTATTTATATTTTAGAAATATCCTTATTCTATCCGAATGTAGAAGTCGAAGTAAGAAGTAGACATGGGGAGAAATTGGCTGTGCCGAAATTCAATCTGGATCTGTTTTGGAAAAACACCTTTTGCATGGCCATTAAGGTTAACGATAATTTACCAAAAGAATTAAAAGATCTTCCGACTAGTCTTTAAAAATCGACTTGGTGTATTACTTTTGGAAAAAATGTATTTTTCAATGAATTATTATTTGCGTGTGACACTGTAGTTGATATAAATTTAATAAAGTATGATAATATCGTATATATTTATTTAAATATTTTGAAGCAAATCGCTTTGCCTACAATTATCATTATAATACACATATTTGTGCAGTTGTGTGTGGGTGACTTAATAAAAACGAAACTGGCTTGCGTGGATATATTACTAGTGATATAATAATAAAATAATTGGAATGAATTGTTGTTTACTAAAACATTAAAAAAACATAGCGTCGTCCTTCTGAGTTTGTACGTATTCTTATATAATAAGGATTGTTTTAAAGGTTTCTCGTCCATGCGCCGAGGTCTGACATCTCTGGTGACGTCAATTGATAGTGCCCTGACCCGTGATGAAGGCAGAAGTGACGCCGCATCAACGGCGAGTTCTGACAGCGAGCGATATGTCATTGTGGGACTTGCTGCTGAATCACCCTTGGATGCTGATATGGCATTCAGGTATCAAATACAGTCAGTAAAGAATACAATTATTTCTACTAATAATAATAATATTTCAGATACTTTCCATTTATATTTCTATGGGCGGATGCCCTTTATCATAAGAATCAGCCATGTATTTAATAAGTTGTGATGTGGGTAGGAACAAAAGAATCACAAAAAGTATCACCCTTACAGCAATTCACTAAAATCTATTCACTAGTAATTAGGGAATCACTTAATCAATCACTTTTAATTAGTTTTGAAACAACAAGGCACAAGATTACTCGGAACAAAAGTGATTCGTCGCAAACGTGGTGCGCTCGCCGTTGACGTTCGAAAACTAAACGAAATTCAACATGGCCGCGCTGACCATCGACACGACGCTCCGCCAGACTGACAATTGTCAAATCTCGTTCCAACGTATTTCCAGTATTTCTTAACAGATGGCGCTAGGAATTCGCCGTCATTTCTATTATCTCATGAATTCCTAGTTATCTGTGTGTCCTTTTCTGGCAAAGGCCTCCAAATCCTGCCATTCTTATCTCTACTTTCTGCCACCTGCTGTTTCCTTTATCTGGTCTATCCACCTTCTAAATTGTCTTATTTTGCGTTTATTGTTTTTGGCACCGTTTGATACTAGAGTCTGGCTAATGAAAGAAGGTAATTGAATTATTTGAAAACTTTCGGATGGCCACACAGAATGTCATCGAATTTCTTAGGTTAGTATGATTTATTGTCTTGATACTTCATGCAATTACTCATTTTATTAATTATTATGCCTAAACTTTGTTTTATTTGATAGAATATTTCGTTTCTTTCGCAGGATTTGATAATTCCGAACACAGTTGTCATTTTAAGTATCAATAGAAAAATACTAAATACGTTACTATCAATGTTAAAAATAATAAAATAAAATCATGTATCAAGTAAGTTTAATCCACAAAATATATCAAAGTTTTAGGGATACCATACTATTTTTTTTTTAATTTGCCGCGCTTTTTCGTTATCTTCTTGCATTAGCCAGACTCTACACTCCACTTTTCTGTTCTTGTCATGAGCCCCGCCCATTTCCACTTAAGTTTATTTATATTCATTGAGACATTTGCTACCTTGGTTATTCTTCTTAATGATGTATTATTTATTTTATCTATTCTTCTCTTCCCTATCATACATAATAATAATAATTAAACTAGACGTTTTCTATTGAATACTAATTTTCTCCGCTATTCTAACTTTGTATTGGCACTTATTTCTAAAATTTGTTTAATAATTTAAAAAATATATCTCCCTAATCACTAATATCATGGGTGGATCCAAGGGAGGTCACTATCCACTAATGGACGGATGTGCGCTTTTAACATTTGTTCGAACGATGAAGGAAAATCGAGAGGAAACTGGCTTGCCTTAGACCCAAAAATTCGACGGCGTGTGCAAAGGAGACTGATCACCTACTTGCCTATTAGATTGACAAATGATCATGAAAATAATTAATAAATCAGTGGCATAATATTTTAACAACCAGCATTACGCGACGCGTAACATGTGTGAGTGAGTGTGTGTGTGCGTTTAATGTGTAACTACATGTCAGGTTAGGAAAGCTTTTCAACAGCTTTTATAACTTATTTGCTTACAGGGAATTCGAACACGGTCGCACTTGTAACAGTGGCGTGGAAATGGCTGCGGAGGTGGTGGAAAGATCATCATCACCTTCAGACCACTCCATCACCAGCTCGTGCAAACGGAGAGATTTGGTAAGCAGTATGTTAAACTTAAAGACATACTCGTAATACTCTCATTTTCAATTCTGTAGAATTCTGACAGCTATCATTTTTTGACATGTCAGAGATTACAAACCTTTTTGACATCTGAGTCTATACCATACATTTTATTGTTAGTTAATGTATCCATTTTATTAAGTTTAATTTATCTTCATTAAAACTGGGTTTACGGAGACTGATGATTACGTTCCTTTTCATCACAAACAGTAAAAAACGCACAAGTAAAGATAACATTTTTTTTTTAAAAAGGTTTACTAAACCTAGAATTAGTAGGCAGTGATGCCAGCTAAAGAATAAAATATAGTAATTAAAGTTAATTCGATATATTCTTTATGTTATTAGGTCACTTGAGTATGTAAATTTTTAGATTTACCTTTTTGTAGGTAAAACATAAAAAATACGAAGCATTTTATTTTTTATTGCCCTCAAATGGGTCAAATTTGTCCCTTTTTCGGTGGAGATCTTTTTTAGTAGCAACACTTAGAAATGTCAGAATTCTACGGAATGAAAAATCAGAGTTAAGTTTATGTAATATATCTAATGTAACATTATAACTGTCAAGATTTCCACGTGTACTTGGCGTCTGAACAACATCTTCCTCGTTCAACAAAGTGTTCCGGGAAAAACGTCTTTACGTCTAACAGCAGATGACCTAAACTCCGACGAATGCTCTTCCATACCTTGGGATGAATTTCAGGTATATTATTTTAAGTGCCTTCTCTTTATGTTGTATAACATCGAGCGAGATGGCAATTCACACATTGTTGGGTCAGTTGTATTGGGGTTTTATCTAAATGAACTAATTAAGCAATTTATTTATTTATTCACACTTTTATATTTATTATACAAAAACAATAACAAAATAAAAATTATAAAGCAATGGGCGGCCTTATTGCTAACAAGCGATCTTTTCCAGGCAACCCAAGTAAAGTGCAAGAAGTGCATAACCAAATCTTATAAAAAAAATACAACCTTAATCTAAAATAATACAAAAAAGAAATTCTATGTAATAAATTTAGTTCTTCTTTGAAAGTACGTATTTCTATTTGTCTTTTGTCCCATTTATTTATTTATAAAGTGATAAAGACAAAACATACAGAAAGTTTCATAAATGGGGTTACGTTTTTGGATTCTCTGATATTTTATCTTCCCTATTTTCCACTTTTTATATGAAATAAATTGTACAAATAGTATTTTAATACATAATTAAGATATAGCTAACCCAACTTTTTCCCAACACAACATGCATCATGACATTTTCATTAAAAACTATTCATTGACCTAACATTCTCCAGAATTGCCACACTGAAAATAAAATCTTTTATTTTAACATTCTCAATTTCATACACCTTCAGAACACAAAATTTTATTTAAAAAAGGCGATTACTACTATTTAGATTAGTTTTTTACAGTGCCACATACTTTTCTTGGTTGGCTGTCATGGACATTAGTATTGCCAGTAAATAAAAAATAACTATTATAAGGGGAATAATTTGAAGTCATACAGGTTAACTTAATAATTTATTGTAATGTCTTAATAAAACAATGTATACTAGTTTCTAAAAAATACAGTTCTAGGCTTAAATAAATGTGATACAAACTTAGGAACAACTGATATGATAGGTTTTGTTACCAGTACTATTCATATAATATCTTTAAAGATACCCAGCAATCAGAAAGGTTCGATAATTAAAATATAAACATTTTAGTTGGATTTTTATTAGATTGTTAAATTATGAGTTGTATTTGAGAGTTAACTGACAATGTCAGTCTGACATTTCAAAATGGCGACGGTAGTGCCAATTTCAGCCGCCGGCCAAGAAAAGTATGTGTCACTGTAAATATCTACTACAGCCACAGAGTATAGATCTCTCCGATAGTCTAAAATAATAATAATCGTCTATTATAAAATTGTGTTAACCAGTCTAATCACTTTATTTTTTTTATCAAAATCTCTAGCATGTTTTATTTTTCAATTTTAAGTCTTATATCGTGTCAATACTCCACCATTATAATTGGAAAGTGGTAACACTAATGGTAGAGGATTGCCCAAATGCATGATCATCATCATATCATGGTCCATCGTATCCCCAATTGAAATTAACAGACTAAAGAGGAATGCAGTTTCTAATTTGTTGTCTATGTGTTTTTCTCTATGGCAACACCGCCCGCTCGGCTATCGTGAACAGACCCGGCTCAAGGTATTTGTGAGGAAAACGTAGTGTATTGTTAAGTGCCATAGATGTAGACGTTTGTGTCGTAGCCAAGGGGGTTTTGAGTGTGTGTGAGATAGATATTTTCGTCTTACTCTCTCATTAAGGAATAAAAAGAGACTACATTCAGCTCGCATTGAGATCCTTATTCAACGAAGCTGATTGGCTTTTGCCAGTGTTACCTCTTAGGTGTTAAAAAAGTGCAGAATCTATATAAATCAAATAGATAAAATAATTAAATCTATTAAATATTTATGTCAATAAGATGAAGGTATCTATAATAATGTGCTTCAATCTATGCACCTTACCATCCACATGACATCACCCTGACAACGTATACGTACGTATACGCAGATCACGAATAAATATTTGTTACTCAATAAACCTGGCTAGCAGGTTATTATCAAATTAGATTGTTGCATGTATTCATTGTACATTTCATAGCCATCTCATGACATTGTAGAATATCTACTTATTCATAAAAATTGTCTGTCTCTTTTCGTCATAGCGTAAAGATAATTTGGCAGAAAGAAACAAATGAGTGCTCTAAAACAGATAGACTGATTTAGTTTTTATGAATAAGGAGGTTAAGTGTAAAATAGCAGATTTAGTTTGCGAAGGAAAGGTATTGCAAGTATTTGTATATATGTATATAGATTTACACATTACATGACATGACATTCACAAACATATAGGATATGTTTTTATCTGGGTAAATATAGTCTGTTGCTGATCAAAAACGATTCACCACATTTCAAAGATGTTAAAATGAATTTAATAGGGAAACTGCTACTTTTGCTAGATACCTTAAAGCTTCGCATGAAAATGATATTGCTAAAATGCCTTGAATTGAATAAAACTGTTTTCAATACCGCTTAGTCACGAGCTATTCATAAATGCTATAACGAAATTTAATTCAACAAACCTAAAATCTACCCGTAAATTTTTTGGTTAAGTCAGAAAATTTAGCTCTAATATCTGCTAAACGTTCTTAAACATGCGATCACAAACGCGTTGATGCTGTTAATAGACATCCGCTGTGAAACCTCCAGTACGGACCATTTGAGAAATAACAATTAAAAAAAAATGGGCTTTCGGTCCAATCGAAAGTCCATCTTTACTGCCGTTCTTATAAATCATCTCCTCGACGTCCGTCGTTCCACAACTCAGCGTTTCTTAAGGAAGTTTTTGCCGCGCACCACCACTATGTGGAACCAGTTGCCCACTGAATTATTTCCGAACCAATTCGGCTTAGGGTCAAGAAAAGAGCGTGCTAATTCTTAAAAGGCCGGTTACGGCCTGTTGGCAATGTTAGTGCCCGTGGGCGGCGGTATCACTTAATAGCAGGTGAGCCTTCTGCCCGTTTGCCTCCTATTAAATTAAAAATATTGGGGATTGCTACATATGTGTCCGATCACTACAAAATGGCGGCCAATATTTAGAAATGGCGCCTGAATAAATGAGGGAAATTACGGTAGATAGAGACAACATCATAGTCAGTTTTGCCGTTTGAGTTTCGCAGCGGAGGTGCGCTGACAGCATTAAAGTATTCTAGAATTAAAGTCACAATCAAGTTTCTCAAATGTACAGAGTAAATTTTCAATGCGCGCTCGGGCTTGGAACGAACCTGTTGCGAGTGAAGATGACACGAAACCGCGGGATTGTCCGAAGATCGCTGCTAGGCTTGTTAGGATTGAACAGCCTAAGGAGTTGAATGACAAGGTATGTATGTATGTTGACGACTCATTGGTTTGTACCCCTGACTGCGAATCCATGGGTCCCGGCATCGATCCCCGGCTGAGACGAACATCGATGTGATGAGCATTTGGTGTTGTGATTAGGTCTTGGGTGTTTAAATATGTATTTATATCTCTATCTATCTGTAATATGTATGTATATCCGTTGCCTAGTGCCCATAACACAAGCTTCACCAGCTTAGCGTGGGACTAGGTCAATAAAAAAATAATAATAATAATTAAATGTATAAGATTAGGAATGATCGATATTAGAAAATCAAATTAATACATATTTCGATATTTTTTATCAACTGTCTGAATGTTAAATAATTATGAAAAAGGAGAACCTTTTATATATTTCTTTCTTGATAAAGGGTAGTGAGGAAGTGTGAGAGAGAAAGAACGAACAAAGGGAACGACCGGTGCGCAGTGAATGAATACGCGATCAGGATTTTTATTAACCTGATTTGTGGATGCTTTCATAGAAGACTAAATTTTTTACTTAAGTAGCATTGGTCCTGCCGAGGCCGTGAGGTAACATCGATGTTCGATTCCGTTAGCATCGATGTTTCGATGTTTTTCGTATAGCAACATCGATGTAAAAACACATGTTTTTGCTTTCGATGATCATCGATGTGCAACAGCTTAAAAGAAACCATAAATTCAATTCTATCTTTTTTATCGACATATTAAAATTTTACATTAATAAAAATATTGAAATAATAAATCACGACTTTTGATCAAAGTTTTATTTACTTTTATTTACTCGTTATTTAAACTCTTGTAATTTTGAACTCTTGGCCAAGGACCGTTTAAGTAGTACGTAATCAGATTTACTGCAATTTATACCATATACTCAAAATCAAAGCCAATATGGAGCGACTGTAGCATCATCATTTATAAAAACGGTACCAAGTATATTCATAATCTTTCAGGGTGAACCAACCGGACTTGCACCATTTGAAGAGTTACTTGAAGCTCAGATTAAAGACTTGATGATGTCCTTAAATATGAGTACGGCACTTGCACTGTCGGAGTTTATTGAGGATGAGGTCATTGCACCCCCTATGCCTTTGGAAGTAAGTTCTCTCTGTTTTGTATATAATTAAATAAAAAAACGTCTCTAACCCCTTCTAATATTCCGTTTCTATGTACCTTTTTATGTTAGATGTGTAAAATTCAATATATTCTTGGTACTTGTACGCTTTGCAGAAAATAGGTAAAAAATAGTGTAATTTATTTTCATTTAAGAATTGTAATAGAATTTTTTATTTTGTTTACATTTAGTTTAGGTAATCGGCACATTTGTTGTCATGTTTAAAAACTAGGATAAAAGTGGAAAAGACTGCAAATTAAACCGAATAATACATTCTGTAACTGTTTTGACTTCTTCTTGACAATCTTCTCTTCTGTTTTTTTATTACACATATAATAGTTCCTCTAGCAGAGGCTGGGTTACAATGTAAGAATACGTGCGATTGATTACGAAACGAAGGAACATGTTGACATCCCTAGGTGCACGATTTGGATCGTCGTTTCTTAATCGTTTAGGACAGAAGTACCCCTGGAACTTTAACTGAACTGATGTGGAACTCCTTGCCCCATCTTCCTTCTTCTTCCTTCCATCTTCCCTACATAATTTAATATGTTCATTTATTCGGCAGTTAAACTGGCATCTCCTGGACAGAAGTGCCTTCCAAAAGACATCTCACTTAACATCAGCTGAGATTGTGTCAGCTGTCCATGTCTGTGTAAAATAATGTCAATTTAAAAGCTTTAATTTTTTGCCCGCATGTATGAGACTGCTAACCAATCACAATAAAAGGATACACAACATTATTTCTTGTCTGACATTCTCCCTCAGGGCTTCTTACACTTCACGTCACTTGAGTATTTTAAAACCAATCTTATATATGTTGTAATTCTTTGTAAACAATTCCAGGTTCTAATATCCAATCTAAAACTCCATCTAATAGAAGATAGACCGACCAGGTCCATTTCCTCTCCACCACCACAGCCATTAGACTTGGATTTAACTACCCTTCGACTCACACGGGACACGAAAGGCATTGTCCACTTGGGACCGCCACAAGTTGAGACTCCGAAACCACAGAATCCGCCAGAATTGAAAGAGGCTAAAAAGGAGATTGAGAGGTTGAATAAGGAGAACGAGGAGTTGAGGAAACGGCTCGCTACTATGGACAGGATTTCGGAGGATAATCGGGAGTTGAGGGCGTAAGTATTCTGGGGACGCTTTATTTTATTTTGGGAACGTATAACAGGGAGCAAACGGGCAGGAGGTTCATCTGACATTAAGTGATACATGGACACTTACATTGCCATAAGGCTCGCAAATGCGTTGCCGGCCTTTTAAGAATGGGTACGCTCTTATTTTGAAGGATCCTAAGTCGAATTGGTGGGGAAATACTTGAGTGGACAACTGGTTCGACATAGTGGTGGTGTGGAACTAAAACTGCCTTAAAAAACGCTTAGTTGTGGAAGGACGGACGTCGAGGTGACAATTACGTATTCTGCCTTGACGTCCGATGATGAAACTCAGCTCGAGGTTGAGCTCATAATAAATCTTCTAACAGGATCATTTTTTATTAACTTTTTAAATTCTCGTGGATTCCAGTTGCGTCTCTTTTACTGAAGTGGTAAGTGTATTTCCATTTGCACAAAATATTAAACTGATGTTGGATCTTCCTAATGGAAACCTTGCGCATTCTTAAGTTCTCATATTATTTTGATTCACATATATATCCTTTCTATAACATATATTCATAAGTATTTGATTATCCTACTTGTAACATGTTTGATGAGAGCAAAAATGAAGTAAAAAAATATATTTTAATTTTTATAGTGTTATCATAAAGTAATACAAAAACAGAAAAGCCCTTTTTAAAATAAAATTAAATAAAACGATATTTTTTATAATTTCCAGTGTGGCTGAAGAAGTGTCGGTATTGCGACATTGCGCACGCGCAGCGCAACAGGAAGCGTCGAAACTTTTAGCTGATAAACAAGAATTGTTGGAAAGTTTGCGATTGATGATGGTAATGTTTTGATGATTTAGTAATTTTTGTAACAAATTATCAAATATTGATATATATTATCATTAACTATACTAAATTAAAAAAAATAGTAGCGCTACCTTTTTAGGTCTGGGCCTCAGATTTCTGTATATTGTCAATCTAATAAGACAAGTCTGTTTCCTCACAATGTTTTCTATACTATAACTATACTAAATATATGGTTAAATTGTTTAATATTGATTTAATAATATTCCAAAGTTATAAAGAAAGGGACGTAATTTATCTACCTATTTTAAGAAAAAAAAATGTCGAAATGGGATTTCCATTTTGCTGTTTATAAACAAAAAAAGTGCGTGCGTACAAAGAACACATTTCAGAAGTGAAACTTCTTTGGGAAAATAATTTATAATTCTTCTTCATATTTATACAAATCTAAAACTTTAGATTTCCGAGACTTAGAGGGAGGGAAAAAGGAAGGTATTAGGAATTTACTAAATTTTATAAAATGTCACAAAAAAGTGTCGAATTTTAATACAAATTATAAATTTATTTTTTAAATTTATTTCTTCGATAATAAAAACGAGTGGCATTTTAATTACAATTCGTCATTTGAGATTTTTAATAAATTATTTTGCATAAAATATAAAATAATATTTCATAAATTCTCTTTACGAAATTTTAATATGTTCTTCTCACTCTCTCTGAACCGGTCTCAATCGCTCTCTCCCTTTCTTCAACAAAAACGCTGCACATCTTCGTGACGTTCCGTAAAAATTTACCCTCATGCGCCTGTTTCACTTCAGAAATTCTTAGTTTATTTTGTTTTTAGGAACAAAATATGTCGACAACATCCCGTGGGAAGAGGTAGCGGTCACCTTGCTCGCTGGACTGTACGGCGTGCTGTCGACATACCAAGGACTAAACATACATATATGTTCAAAAAAATTGAACTCGGGTAAAAGTTTAGTCGACCATTTCAAATATAAAAGTACTATAAACCTTATTTAGCAAAATATGTACTGGATAGTGTGGGACAACGGTGATTTCTAGTGTATTTTTTAAAATGTGACATAACTTAACTAATTGAGGTTTATAGTTTCTGAATAAGTTAATTAACTGAAAGGTTAACTTAGTTATCGCATATCTAACTATTTAGGCTGACTTAGCCAGGTTCTGAGACCTGTACGTACCCGTAACACGAATACGGAAAATCGAAAAGAATAAATTTTTGTATAGAAAACAATGCGCTGCGCGTGTATTTAGAACTGAAAAAGATAAAAGTGTCTTTCAAGCAGATTATGGAGAGTTGAGCTGTCAAAAATGAAATCATATTAACGTATGCTTGACGGAACTATCATAAAATTCGTGCTTCTGACGTTTTTAAATCGACTTCAATACAACAATACAAAAACGAATACGATAAAATGACCGTTCTAGTACTAAATTCGATCGTTTCTTATGTATTCTGTAGAATTTTTTTTCTATATAACCTACGAGCCGTTAAAACAACGACTGATAATTTAAAGGCTTGGATGAGATTACGATCGATAAGTTTTTAGGAATGCTAATAAAAAATTGCCAAATAATGGGGTAATTGTATCAATCAAATCAATCAAAAAAAAACCGAAAATTTATTAAAATTATTTGGAATTTGCATTTCAGATTTAGTATATGTTTTGAAAATTTACTTACTGTGTTTCGTTAACAATTTCCTAGTAATTTCTTCCTTAAACCTATCATTTACGTTTCTCAAGTGAACAATTCAATTGTTTAATATAAAAATTATGTATGTCATTGGGGCTTAAGAATTTTAGAAACGGTACGGTGGGGCAAGGCAGAAAAAAGTTTAGAGCATTTGGTGAAAGTATAATGAAAATTGCAAATAAACGCTTCTACGCGAAATTTACCAAATTTCGGTAGCACCAAGAGACAACTGGCAACATTTTGAAATGTTGCTATACCAAAAATAAACACTAGCAATGCAACAACATTATATCGCTTGCCCGCAAGAATACTGTATTAACTCTGAAAACGTACTTTTTCAGGAGAAGCGATTAAAGCTTGTAGCTCCAAATATTGTGGTATTTTCTTAAGATAAACAATCGGTTTCTTTATTGTTATTATGTATTAGTCTATACTCTATAATTATCTCTGAAGATATTGTTATTTTTAACATGATTTCTTAAATTATTTATACCTTTTCTAAGGAGAGTATCACTTGTGACTGTATTCTTTTGAATATTACTTTTATTTAAGATGTTTAGGGTAAAATGAAAACAGTATTTATATAATTTTGAATGCAATTAAAGTAAAGAAAAAAACATAAACAATAAATGAATTCTCATCAATTTATTAGAAAAAGATCTAAACATCAAACATACTTATAAAAATCGGATGATTAACAATCAAAAGCTAAGTAACAAAACATTTGGCTTAAACTTAGGGCAAAATAATAAATTCTAGTCTTGTACCAAAAAAAATAATTATCAAAAATCAAGAAGTAAGCAGTTTACATTGAACACAAAACAATCAACTAGTCAGCCTAATTTTTTTTAAATAAAATAAAATAAAATTTCTCAATGTTTAAAACTTAATATTAATTAACTTAATAGCAACTTTACGCTTTGACCAGGTAACCTGGTTAATAAAATAAAACTGAAAAAATGTTTGAAGTAGGTACAACTACTGTTGAAAAAAACATAATTCGTAATTTAGAAAGTTAAAAATCTCACTGAAATCTAAAACCAAATATTAAATAAGTACTATGAAGAATTGAAATAATATTTAAAATTCACTTATAAGTTTTGATAAAAATCTTCATAGTATTTAGGAATTATGTTTTTTTCAACTAATTTCATCAGCCCCTGTTTCTTTTTACTTGAAATTTTAATCCTCTCTGAATAGGCTGCAGGTAAATTAAGTGTCATCAAGTCATGTTGAGTGCTTCGAGTGGACCCTGATACTTTTATTTGCTTATAGGCGGTATCAGAGTAAGAAGTTTTATAAAAAAAAATCCAGGATCTGATTTAGACACATAAATTACCCTAATATCATTCATTTTTACGGTTTCATTTTGAATATTTTTGGAAAAGTTTTTTCCAATCTTTGGTGATACTTCTTTAAAATCGTAAAAGCTATCGTAAGTCAATTCATTAACTGCAAATGGCTTTCCGTTAGATTTGGCAGTTCTAATTAAAGTAAAATACTGAGCAGGTGAATATATCGCACTTGAACGAAGGGACTTTTTAATTTTTCTTTCAACCAGAGAATGGCAATTGTCACCCTCATTTTGGGTATGCCCCTTAATTAGGAATTTGTGGGTAATGGAACTAATATTTCGAAATTTACATATTGCTAAGATGTACATTGAAATCATATAACGGTTTTTCTGCTGCCCGCAGCAATTGTCACTGTAGAATATTACATCAATGGATCGCTCAGCCTTAGTGTCTATTTGGTTAAGATAATTCCACACGCAACTTGCAATCTCATTCACACCACGATTGCCATGCCCTTCATGCCATACATTACAATAAACATCTCTTGTCTTCAAATCAGTTATTGTAAAATTTAAGACATTTAATTTGGAGATGTAATAAAAGTTACTTACATCCCCTCTTGGACAAGGCATTGTTGCTTGTAAGTCATAGACAGCAACTACCACACTGCTGCCTTTCAATTTGTCTTGCTCCTTCTCGGCTCTCGATAGATCTTTTTCTATTAAATGTGTATCATACTCAACTCGAAGTCGTTGTTTTTCATCACCGGTAGCATTCATGAATGCCTCACAAGTGTCACATCTGTCTTTTTTAGGTGAATAAAAGGCTATATTAAACTCATTATTGAATACATAATTACCATAAGTCTTATGTTCAGTCTGACATAACTTAACGTAATCTTTGTGTAGATCAGTCAATGTTTTACTGCCATCAATATAAAGCTTATTAGTATTACTGCGACAGTAATGACTATCCATAGTCGGAATAGATTGTATGTGCTCTCTTATTTCGAATTTAATAATATCCGGTATTTTTGCATGATTTGCATGCTTCCCTCTGCCATCTACAGCTACAACATTATTCAAAGAGGGTATTCGCTTTTCAAACGCGGTCATTTAAGGCAAGTGTGGATTTAAAAAATGTTTTACAAACACGTACTTTACTATTTTGAACAGAAAAATAAAATGCATTGTTGTTTTGCCTAGGATTTGCCGCATTCGTGTATTTATATTTCGGATTAATCATAGTAGTGCTGTTAATGATGTATTGTCTCTGCATCGTGATGTTGCCCAAATTGTAATATTCATCAAATATATTTTTCTTTCTTCTTCTGATACATTAGCAGAACATTTTAGGCGACACTTCTCACCACATGGTGGCCCTACTTTTCTGGCTGGAATGACTTTCTTTAGTTTTTTTGATGTGTAGCTGTGACCTGTGTTTCTTAAACGTTTCGCGACTTCTGACTTCCAGCTGCTAACATTTCGTTGTCGTTTTCGTGTGAGTTTTTTGTTAGAATCTAAGTTTTCAAGCTGAGAGTTTGCAAGTGGAATGTTTTCGTTGCCAGAGAAGTGTAATGTAGGTGGAATGATTTCGCTGTTAGAGGAGTGTAATGCGGGTGGAATATTTTCGCTGTGGGAGGAATGTGAACGTGCACTTGAAGCTGACGATGATGAACTACTGGAGCTGGAAGATGAATCCGTTGATGATCTTGACGGTGGTCTATGTCTATAGTTCGGATCTTTAACGCTGTCATCTGAATCGAAATCGGACTCATAACTTTTATCGGCTTTACTTAGATCTTCAGTGTTAGATATTATGTCATTAATATCAGTATTATTAGCATCATTTTCGAAACAATAACTAACATTGTCAATAGCACTGGCTGTCTCAATTCTATGATCTGATGCATTTATATCTTTATGAAACAAATTGGTTTGTACGTTAGCATTTGGAACTGATTCACATGCTATATCAACATTTTCTAAGCATTCAATGTAGCCAGGGCCTTGTTCATCCAAGCTAGTATCAAGATTTTCAGATGGGTTCAAATTATATTGACTGTTATTCGATGTCTCACCGTGTGTTGCTATACATTTCCGAATATACGCTAGTCTTTTCTGTGGTAACATTCTGAAATAAAGAATAAGAAACTGAAGATCAAAGACCAAGTTAGACATACTACTATCTAAATTAATTAGGTACAAACAGAACAACGTAGTTTTAAAGTTTGATACATTGACATCAACTTAAACTCAAATGAATACAGACACATTTTGAAATAATACTTGAATAAGATACAATTTATGGTGAATAAAGTAGTAAACAAAAAAACACACAAAACTTTTAATAGATCATAGGCATAACTCGAAATAATACTTTGTTCATTTTAACGCAAGGTATTTTATGCATTATGTTATTGTGTCGAATACGGGTTCATTTTCGTGTTAAAACTATATTCTAAATAGGAATTAAAAAAATAAAATACTTACTTTATGAAAAATATTGCAATAAATCACAAAAATACACTTTTCTTCCTAAGGTTGAACCGAAATATATATTAATAGGAGATAATACTTTGTGCCCTAAAATAACACGCGTCTAATTAGTTCAAGGATAGGTGCAATACTGAACGTGACGTTCTTCCTTTTCTAGTGAATAGAAAAGAGCGAAAGGGATAAAGACGCAACTTCCGTAATTGGCTCATTCAAGGTGCAAACGATTTTTGACCTTATTCAAAAGGTAGAACGTACTTTTTTTAGTCGAGCTGTATTATTAAGTCAGTTAGTGCCAAATTTTGACATAATACTGTATTCTTCCGGGCAAGCGATATGAAGACTTGTGAACAGTCAACAATGTGTAAAAATTGCGGGAAAGATTGTTCCATAGAACTAATTCACAAGTTATTACTTAGTGTTTAAATTTCATGTGGATAAATTCTTTTGCCTTAGAAATATGTCGACTATGGGGACAGTTTCTTGGATGGGCTACGCCCATGAACAGGGCAGTACATAACAGTTATTTTTATATTAATCGTCTCGCCAGTGATCTTATTTATATTGTAAAATAATAACGAAAATATTTGATTTAGATAAATGTCGTTTTGTATCTGTTTAATTAAAGATTGACATTGACAATTGATGTATGAGGTGACATTTCGAAAAAAAACCTTTAATACGCAAACAAAAAATTATGCAAAAAAAACTCTTCCAATATTATTATCTTTGAATTTGTATTATGCAACATAACATAATTGTTTTTTTTACTTGTGTCATACAATTTTCATTTATTAGAATATTTTGGTTGTTTAATAATTTTTTGAAGTGTTGTGACTTCACAGAATTTCTTGTAGAATATAATTGTTTAAAAATGTACTTAAGATTTCGACTGTTCTCCATGTTTGATGTGCCCTTTAAATTAAGCGAATTAACGTAGTTTGTGCCAATACTATGTAAAATAGGTCAAGTGAAAGAAATATTTTTTGTAAGGTCCATTTATTTAATCCTATCCAGTATCATCGGAACTATAAAATTTACCTATTTGACTTGATAAATAAGCAATAAGACAGCGGGTTACAGAGTTACCCCACACGAATTTTTTCCCAATAAATAGGGAAATTATATTTAATATAAAAATATAACGTCCCTATTTTATTATATTTGGTATGTTGAGGTTTTTTGTAACAAAACTAATAGCATATATATAATATATAAACTCTATATCAAATACTCCCTGTTCGTTAGATATCTAGGAGTATAGTTTATTGGAAATTGTGCCTGTATTGATCATAATCATTTATAAAAGCTTGATAAGTGTTGTGTCACTATTATATTTTATCAATCGAAGTATATACTCGTAAGTTAGATAGTATTTGATTGTAATTTTCTAATGGGCGTATTTTTCTTATAATTGTAATATTTTTTGCTACGGTTACTTCATTTATAGCGAATCCTATTAAAGTTGTAGTCATCTTAATATAGTGAAATAATTATGAATTAAAACAATATAATATATACATCATTTTTATTACAATACAATATAATCTATACTTTTTATCTAATTAAGCATTGTACATCATACCACGTATAATAAATAATGTGTGTCCATTTAAATTTCAAACATAACTAATAAAAAAAATTGTATTGACGTCATATAGGTGTATAGTTATAACATAAATTACTTAAACAACGTTAGTTCCTGTTTTAGTTGTGGAACAAAAATATAAGAGGTAACATTTACTAAGTTTGGGTTGTTTAAGAATTGAAATTTTGACTTTATTTATGAAATTATTGCTATCATTACAATGTTTCATACGTTTTAATCAAATATTTATTATCCGAGTACTTACTTCCATGATTTATATTGCATATTAGTATTAACCAAAGCCATTCAATAGTGAGGTACTTTTTCATTGATTAGTAAGTACAATTAATTATTATAATCACTAAAGTTTTTAAAGAATTAAAATATTTTATACAAAGTTTACAAAACTTTTTATTTAAACAAATATGAAAGATCTCCATTTCTGAAACTTATTAGGACTTTGTTGCATTTCCAATACATTACGGTAAGAATGTTGTATGTATTGTAACTTGTAAGGGATTTTTATATATCTACTCGTACGCCTATAATATACAAAATGAAATTGTTGCAATATTATGTTTAGTTAAGATGGAATTGTTAAAATTAAATATAATATTCTTTAAAAATCTTTGTTTTAATTGCTTTAAAAAGCACCACTACCTAATGCATGCGAGCATCTTCTGATCGAGGTCATGCTCAGTAAAACTAAAATTCTCCTTGGAGTGTTCTACTTTACTTCTCTTTAAGTCGCAGGTTTTGAAAGTACCCTTGAAAGGTTTGCTCCTCTCTGTAAAAACATAATAGTTATCGGTCATTTCAACACCTGCTTAATTAAAGACGACTGCCTATCGAGAAAGTTGCTCTCCATCACCGACTCTTAAAATCTTCATAACCTGCTACTTAGTGCCACGCACAAAGTCCCAGGCTTCACTCCTTCCCTATTGGATCTTATATTTACCTCTGCTCCTGACCTAGTTACTAACCATGGCCAACTTCCTGCTGTTGCTTTTTCTCATCACGAACTCCTTTATTTGTCTCTCAATCTGAAACCTCCTAAACTAAAACCCACCGTAGACTTAAACGCAATTTCGCTGCGATTGACACCGAGCGTCCACTTATCAATGCGGCCAGAATCGACTCAATGGTAAAGTTAATAACTATTTCTAAATACCCTAGTAGAATTAAGTATAATACGTTTTTTTTTATATAATCGTTAAAAAGACGTGAACGAACAGTAGTGAATTTCATTTCTTAAACTTGTAAATAAGTTATAAATGTAGGGAAATGTAATGAATTCAAAATGGTAACATCGACACGTGAGCAGAAAAATAACGTGACTGATAATAATGGCAACATCTTCAGTTATGGCCGTCAGTCAGTTGGAAAAGTAGTTTGTGGTTGTTGCTTTAAGCTTCACAAAAAAATATAAGTTTCTTAAATTTCGTGGTAGAGTGTTAATTGACAAATTGAAAACAATTTTTGTGCATTAGTGAATGGAAGTTGACTAGATATATCACAATAATTTTCGTGGAATGTTTTTGTGCCTTCAACAGTAATAGGATCAGAGTAGTGATCGCAGTTTAATATTGGATTATAGTTGCTGTTTACACATTCATACATTGCCCAAGTAAGTTGCTTTCTTGTTGTTAAAATAAGTAGGGATATTTAATTAAGAATGCTTAAATTCCGATTTTCCGCCACGAACTCGATTTTCGAAGTACTTGTACAAAACCGGAGAGATAACGGCGATTTGAAGCAGATTGCGTTTAATTCTGATAAAATACCTTTCTTCGTGACGTATATAGGTCTAAATATAAGATAGAAGTTCCAATTATAACCCCATAACTGTCTGCGTAAAAAGTACAAACTTTAATTGTTGATATAATTGCATGCTCTATTTCCCTCTGAAAGCCAAATCATAACATATTTGAAAGGTGAGCGGTGTTTTCGACTACATTTAGTGCAATAAAGTACCATTAAGACTTTCATAAATACTTCTTTAAATTCATCTTATGTAGATACTGCTTGCATAATAACTTTCTGATTCACAGTTACTGAGTAATCAGAGTGATTTTACTTATTCTACACCTTTAATTTCTTCGACCACACTATTAAACTATGCTTTTGTCAGCTTAGAAGTTTAATTGGTAAGCATTGTATTAAGAGTTTATTAAATGAAAACTGTATGTATTGCTGCTGCTTTGAAAATGACGAACCCTTATTTTTAACCTCTGGTGAGTCACAATACCTTACATAGATTGCAACTCATTGTATAAAAATTTACTTTACATAATTCAAAAATTATCACTTGTGTACACAAACTGAAATCATCATAATTCTGCAATTCAAGGTCGTTGTTGTGTTTTCTTATTACTCATATTTTGGGTTAACATTCCCATTTATGCTAGTACATTAAACAATTTTGTATTCATTATCGTTAAGTGACGTAAAATGATGTAACACATGCCATATATATTTTTTAATTATCTGGAAACTAAAAATATATTCTTTATTAACAAATATGTAAGTCCTATTCCAATGAATAGGTGAGTGATATTAGTTGTAAATATTGTGTACAGAAAAATGATAATGTTATAGTGATGATAGTTGTCCAGAGCTTACAGTCTCCACATAATTTCTACAAATATGTGCTTTATAGTTTGTAGTATCTTTCTATTAAAGCTTGGACTAAGCTAAATCCAATAGAATGTTTATTAAATATTAATAATGTTTTAACACATTGTCAGTTTTATTAAAGGTCCATTTGGAACTATGATTCGTAACTGATTTATATTATTAACGGGTTTAACATTGAAATAGAATAGATTTCAAATTATAGTTATTATACTTATTCTCTTTTTCTATCAGTCACATAATTTGAATAGACTTTGAACCACTTGTTCAATTAGGTTAATGATAATAATTATATGCTAAGAATTTAAATGGAAATTATAACCAAGGATATAATAATTATTATAAATAGAAATGAACACATTATTATCTACAATGATAACAATGATAGATTATACAAATTACATTTCACTCATTA